GAGAAATAGTGAGCAAAAAAAACTATAAAATTCATTCAGTATACCTTAGGCTAGAACCATGCTGAGGCAGGATGCCTGGGAGGCTTCCAACAATGGAGACACAATCACAAAACACACATTGTCATCATGAAAATCCAGTCTGCAACATCAGTGGGACAATACAGAAGGGCGTTCTTATTCGATCAGGCTATACTCACATTTTCAATATACGAAATAAAGGTATATATTTTAAAATCATTTTATTGGGGGCTCGTACAACTCATCACAATCCATCCATCCATCCGTTGTGACAAGCACATTTGTTGCCATCATCATTTTTTACAACATTTTCTTTCTACTTGAGCCCTTGGTATCAGCTTCTCATTTTTCCCTCTTCCTCTCTCCTTCCCTCCCTCATGAACCCTTGATAATTTATAATTTTTTTTTACTTTTTCATGTCTTTTAAGAGAAAAAGAAACCCTGCTGTTCATTTTGCATGTGAGTATGCTCTTTAGAGCTCAGCCTAAGTACAGGAAGCCCTAAACTGCCACCTAATCCCCGCCCTTTAAGTTTCTACTTACAAGATGAAAAAATTGTGGACGTGTAGAAATGTTTGTCATTGCAACAGCAGTGGAGAGCCCAAAAGACAAAAGGCCCAAATGCTATTATTTATCCTTTCAGATCAAATTATAATTGGGGCGGGGCGAGCACTGGAGCAAGATGGCATGCATTTCTGACACACACTGCACTTCCACAGTGCCGGTGCTCTCAGTCTCCCGCCAGCAGGCTGGGTGGAGATACTGAGGCCATTAGCGATGGAAGTCAATACTTAAAAAAAATATGAATTCACTTTAAGCAAATTATTTGCAAAATTGCCTCAATCCTCACATAATTTATTGGCGTGGACTTGGCATCATCTAATAAATTTCACATCCTGTCTGAGTCTCCAAATCCTGCAATTACAAATACCAAACCTGTTAAAGACTCTGCCTTCTGTTTTTACTCTGACAAGACCAACTAAAAGAGGTTCAACAATTATTTTCTATTTCAAATTTTCTCTTGAATAACCAGATTGGTTTTCATACGAAACATTCAAATTTCCCCATATACCCACTCCCCCTGCCCACCCCTTCACTACTACCAGCCCCGTCTTCTACAGAAACAGGCAGCTAGGGCGTGTAACACATATCCCGTCGTTGTCCGTGGAAGAAGGGTAAAATTAGCTCCATGATGAAATGAAGGAACGATTCGAATGCATCAAACTTCTCACCCTACTTTCCATTCCAGACCAAACTTAAAGCTACATCAGCCAGGGTTTCTATGACAAGCTAACCACCCGACACAAGTTTATATTTTTCACTTACATATTGTGCATTTCAATATGTGATGTTGCTGCCAATAATTATGACTGATCTACACCCAACCTGCCCTTCGGCATTTTATTAAATCTCTCCAACAGTGACTTACAGTGAGTCATGGTTCACACAGAACTGTACATGTGTGTTAACAAGTTTTAAGGAATCTAAGAAGGAAGATAGGGGGAGGTTGTTGATTTTTTTTTTTTTAAGTTGTGACTGAGCGAGATGAAGGAAACTGCTAAAATACTAATGAGACTTTTGAAAAATGAGTACTTGTACCAGGCAGTAACTTGGGCTAGTGTTTCATTCAGGAAAAGGGAAGGCAGGTTCCTCAAGAAGCTTTGGTAATTTCTTGTTACAATAAAGTACAAGGAAAACCACTCAGGGTTTATTCTGCTTTCTAGTACTCAGATCGACCACACTGTCAGGTTCTCTAATTTTGGGTTTCCCTATTTTTGAAGCGTATTTCCTCCTCTAAGTTCAAAGGATGAAATATATATATAAATAAATATATATTCTTAATTTACTTTTATTTATGTTCTTTTTGATATTTTATTTAATTCCTTAAAAGTAAAAGGTCTGAATGAGAATTAATAAATCTTTTAAAACTCCCATCAAACATGGGGGGGTGTCATTTTTCATCATGCTTTATTGATGAAAATTGAACCTCTATTATAGCCTGTGAGTTAGGCATTGGGCTACAAAGAGCAAGGTCTGTGGGTTCACACCTAGCCATCACCTTCTGGGAGAAAGAGGAGACCATCTGCTCCGGTACAGATGTACAGCTTTGAAAACTCTGTATAGGATCTTACTGATGGCAGTTGGGTTAGGATTATGGGATGTATCTCTCGTGTTTCAGGGTCACCCTCTATTACAAAGGAAATTGGGAGAGTTGAAACCGTTACCAAATGCAAGAGTAAGGCAGTACCAAGGAAAGTTGTGTGAAATCCACATGAAAGTAGAGAGAACTCTAACCTGCACTACACACAGTGCTGGTGAAGCCCCCGAGTTGTGTTTCTGTCCCAAATAATTTAAGAGTCATTTTTAACTGATACACACTGGGCAGAATGGAATATCTGTATGTTGTTTAGGGTATATTATTTTATGGTATATGTGATAACTCTTTTTTTAAGATCCCTCTCCCCCCACACACACACTTTCTGACTATAAATAATTCTGTCTTGGAAGACATGCAGCCAGAATGTTCCTTAGCAGCGAGGCTGGCGGGACTTCCTCTCAAGTACTTTGGGGCACATTATCAGGAGAGACCAGTCCTTGGGAAAGGACATCATGCTTGGTAAAGCCGTGGCAAAGAGGAAGACCCTCAATGCAATGGATGGACCCGGTGGCTGGACCCCACGGGCTCAAGCACCAGGATTCGTGAGGGCGGCGCAGGACCTGGCAATGTTTCCTTCTGTCGTCTGTGGGGTCGCTGTGAGTCGGGACTGTCTCCGTGGCACCTAAGAACCACGACATCTGTAACACAGGGCGGTGGCCGCTGGCTGAGCACAGAGGCTGCGTAGAATCTCGGCAAACCAATGAATATGTTTGTGTCTCACAGGACCTTCTTGCTGCTTCTGCCTCCGCAGGAAGGTACCACGAGGTCGTCCACTCAGGGAGAGCAATTTGCCCTGGAACGTGTGCTCGGGGACCATGGGGCGGAGGGAGTTTGCTAGCCACACTGCGGAGGAAGCGCAATGGCCTGTGTGATCTGTCACCTGAACAGAGCCTCCGCTTCCCTTAATGAGAGAGCTCATTGGACACTCCTTGTCCTCACCCTGGACGGTTCCTGGGACGTGCAGTGTGTGCATCGCCTCCGGATTGCATTAAATGCACCTCTTCCTCAGTTGACTTTTTTTAAGACGTGAATTCAGGGGAAAGACTCCATGCGAATGTGTGCGAGCCGCAAACTCGAAGAAAGGAAGAGAGAAGGGTAGGTGGAAACCAGAAAATGGACACCGCTTAAGAGCGCCTGGATCCCGGGCCACACGTGGCTCTCCTAAGACTCCCCTTCGTTCTGCGGCCATGAACAGGAAAGGGCGGCTGCAAAGATCGATCTCCCAAGGCTGCCGCGAGGTTGGAGAAATGGATAACCCTTACAAAGCGATGCCTGTGTGTCGGCCTGTGTCTTGCAGATAGTCCACTTTGTAAATTAATCCTCCAAAGGCAAATATAGTGTAAGGAGCCTGTTATCTCTAAAATACTAAATTGAAGGATACGTGGGATTATATTGAGAGAAATTACATTTTCTGTAACAGGGTTTAATATATCTGAAACCTCCCCCAAAGACTCCCAGGCTCTCTGTCAGAGAAGGGTCTGTTAAGGTCGGTGCAGTGGACATCAAGAACAAATGTATTCACCAAAATGGATTAGGCCCTGTAATCAGAGCGGCCGTCATATTAATCTTTGATGCTTATGGAACAGATAGAAACACTGCTGTCTGCAAGATGGTGCTGCCTCACCATCCAGGCTTTGGGCCTTCTCTTAGCATTTCACTTCAGACGATAAGGTTTCCCCTACCATAAATGCTAATCTAAAAATATCAGGACAATGAATTAGATACACTGAAGTTGAGAAGATAGTGGATTTCCAAATCCTTCAAGTATGACACTAGCCCCGGGTACTTGTGTGAAACCTGCCTTTCAACACACTGGCAAAGGTTAATAAACCATATTTCTCAAGCCTCGTTGCCATACCAGTGTGCATTCAGTCAGAATAGCATTGGTGGGAGTTGGGAGTGGCGTCAGATCAGGAATTCCCATAGCTATTCCCAAACAGCACTGCGCAGCTCTGAGACCCACCGGGTTTGAAAAGCTCCCAAAGACAAACACAACTTCCCCCTTTCAATTCACCGGAGACACAAGCAAACGGGAGACCATCCTTGAACGCACAGCCCTTGCGACTTCTAACTGAATTCCATGACTGTGAACGCCGACTGATGGGAGAAAGGGAAATCTTGATTCCTGGGAAAATTAGGATGAAACTCCTCTGTGTATCGATTATCCTAAAGGGTTCAATCAAAACATCACAAAATCCACAAGCAGAGCTACAGTTACAGAGCCATGGCGACGTCCATTAAACACGTACCTGGACCCACCCACGCAAAATGAACCAGACCCAGGCCATGGGGTCGACCCCGGGACAGAGTAGAACTGCCCCAGAGGGTTTCCGGGGCTATACATCTTTGCTTACACACGCACACCATCACATTTTTCTCCCTTGAAGCAGCTGATGGGTTCAAACTGCCGACCTTGCAGTTAGCCTCTGAGTGCTTCACCACCTGTAAAACCTAGATAGGTGTACGCCAGTAAACCAAATCCGAACCCAACCCAGTGCCCTCGAGTGACTTCAATTCACGGCGATCCCATAAAACGGAGGGGATGACCCGACAGGGCTCTTAAGGCCTCAGTCTCCACAGAAACCAATTGCCACACACATAGATGGTGTAAAAATTTACCAACGTATAAAAGAAGTGGGGATGTTTTCTTGTCCTCACTAGCAAGTGTCTCGCGGAGCAGTCGACAGTGTCGCATTCACCTTTGGATCAACAAGCCACCAGGGAAAGCAGCAATAACTAGGTGTGTCTTCTTAATGCAAAACATCGGCTGCAGGTTGCCAGAGGGGAAAACAGATGGTGTGTAAACACAAAGCCAAATTACTTACCAATTGTTCACTTGAAGGATAGTGAGTCCCGTGTCTTGTGCCAGCTGCTTCTTCTGTTCTTCAGAAGGGTAAGGGTGCTGAGGAGAAAGAAAAAAGAGACGCGATATGTTAGACAATATTCCGGCCATTCTGTCAAGAACCCGGGTGTCTAGTCAAGTCTATAATTAAAGGTAAAAATGCTGAGGTGTGTCATTCTTATTAATGGAATACTACATCATCTAATTAATGGCAGTAAAAGACAAACCAATTACAAAGATTAGTGAAGTGTATAAATAGCTACTTAGGATACTTGCAGCACCTTGATACTGAGTTTATCCCGTTAACAGGTTTATTTGTTGCAAACACAAAGTTCCGTCTGGTCCTTGAGGTATTGGGGAGGATTCAAACAAGGGCAACCCCTTGGTTTGCCATATAAAAACAGACCACTCGGCCTTCCTATTTTCATAAGACCATGGACTTAACAATTTAAATCAACAAGCCCAGTAGCTAAGCACCTTGCTGGAAGCAGATATCAAGATGGAAGGAGCAGCTATATTTATTTCAAAAAACAATGCCACCATTTCGTTTATTTAGCTTTTCTCCAACGCACGGACAAACAAAATCCAACCAAAGTTGGTTTCCATATGTGAATGTCAACACACACTGGGATGCTGAACACAGGCCAATCTGAGGTCAAAGACCAGCATATTTTGCGGGCCAAGAACAAGTCCGACTATGTTCTTCATGAGTTACAGTGGAGAAAGGGTATGGCCGAATAAGATCGTAAAATGAAACCCATCCCTCTCTGTGCGAACCTTTAGAATTTGACTGTCATTAATTTTGGCGCTTTTTCTTTTTTAATCAAAAGCCTACTATATCTGAATTTGAAAAATTCATTTCTGAAACCCAGGGAGAGAGTTGAGGAGATGATTCCATCCCCAGAGCCATTGGCTGGCTTACAACACAGCATCTCCGAAACTCACCCAAGATAAAGTTATTCTGATCGCCAACCCTGAGGTCTCTGATGAATATGAAAGTTTCCCCTCCCCCAATGCTCCCTACAACTGAATGCGGGTCTATTGAAAGCTAATTAACATAGCTTCTAATCTCATTAATAATGTCTGATTAGATGCTAAAAAGGCTGTTAATGGCCACTTCAGTGTTCTTATATGTAAGTTTAAGTATGTTCTCGATCTATGCACATGGGATTCGTTTCCAGAGAGCAGTGATATAGCAATTTTTCCCATAAGCATTGCCTTTGATTGTCACTTAATCAATAAATACACAATTAGAATAAGGCTTTGCTTTTATGGGATATAGTGCCCTTCTCTGAAGAGCTCCAAGTGTATTACAGACAAGACGGTAATTAATCCCCATTACATCCCTTTGAGGGACATAAATGGAATCTACCATCCCTCCTGTGCTACAGGTAAGGAGACTAGCCAGGGAGGGGTGGTCGGTCAGCAAGAGACACAATCAGTGATCTTTCCTGTGGTCACGTCCAGTGTTGCAGCCTCCCCACGCCCAAAGGATGTGACAAACGCCTCTCATTGTTTTCATTCATTCCTTGCTCAAGGAAACAAACACCCAGAACTCCCGACTTCGTATCACAGCCTTGGAAGCTCCCCATCACCAAGAAAGGCCCGCCTCCCGGACTTAGTCTTCAGCATGTCACGCCCCCACCCCCACCCCACCCCCATGCCATGCCTCTGTCCAGCTCCACTGGTCTTCCGATACGCAGCGCTTGTTCTTATGACCCGGCCTCGTTCTTTATCACTTTCCAGTCTCAGCTCAAACGCCCAGCTTGACGCAGCCAGCTTATCACGACTCCAATGTATCCCTCTCCCGCCAGCCTTTCTCCTCTTTCGCTCTTAGCCGGCATCGCTCCCTGAAACACCGGGTTCAAGGGTGTCCCTCCTTGTGGTGGTTTCTCTTCCCACTCACTTTACCCAACGCGGTGTCTGTGGACTCAGCCCGGACTCCTGGCACAGCCGCAGGCTTTCAGAGAGGAATTGCGTCCCCTAGGATTTTCCAGCAACTGCTTTTTCAGAAGTCGGTCAACTTTCTTCCCAGACACCCCCAACATCCACACTTTGGGCGACAGACAGCCTGTGATTAGCCATGGGTGCTACTGTGAAGTAAGTCCTGGCCTCTCTCTCCTTGCCCACCATCCTCAAGACCCAGACCAGCACATGGCTACCAGCCATTACGCATCTGCCAAAAGAATGACTATGACTTGCCATGTTACAGAGATATTCTTTACTCAGATGCAATATCAAAACCTCCAATAATAAAAAGTCGAAGCCCACAGGATAAGGTGACCAGACATCCTGCTTTTGGCGGGACAGTCCCGATTTTTAACAAATGTTCCCGCGTCCTGCGGCATTTTTAAAAAGTCCCGACTTTTGGAAAGAATGCACGACAAGCTAGGGTATATGGTTTTCAGCTGCCGTGTGGCTGTTTCGCCAGGATATGAGTTTATCAATGATGTCCCGCTTTGGTCCCACGTTGCCAATGTTACCATCGAAAGTATAAAACAATCCGATTTGAGCTCCACTCTCCTCCTTTACTTCATTTCCGAAAGCAATGTCAACTCATTCTTTTCGGATGAAGGCGTGTGACCCTCACAGAGGAGCGCGAGTCAAAGACAATCTGTGTGCTCCAGGCGGTGCCTGCCACAGTCACCACCACCACTGAAGACAGCCGGAAACCGTCCACTACCCTGAGGTTTGGAAGGCAAAGACCTGCCGCACAACGCAAACCAAAGGATTCTCTCTATCCTGTGGACAGAGTATGGAATCACGGTTGGGGGTCCTTGCACAGCAGTTTCAGAACCACACAGAGGTAAACGTGACCCTGTGAAGGTGTATCATGCATGTTGCCACTCACTGGTGACTCCGAATGCCAGGACACCTCTCCTAATGCTTGGTTTGGCCATCCATGTAAGTACTAAACTCCATCGAAGTGAAAGAGCCAACAGTTATTACATTGTCATCCAACTGGAATATAAACTCGGGTTGAAGTATTCAAAGTATAGCATCCAGCGGTTGGCACTAGTTGCCAGGTAGAGCTGCAATTGGATGTGAGTTAGTTAATTGTGCCAGCCTGGCCGATAATCACATGTGGGGCTGGTTGAAAGGCGGAGAGATAAATGGGTGGTGAGCCTCGCCTTTCTAGTTCTCGGGTCTCTTGTTTTGTGATGGTTGCACCGGGTGCAGCTGCCTTAGAAGTTGCCTGCTTCAGCTTGCAAGATTGACTTCCTTCCTACAAGACACCCCCAAGGAGAAGCTACATGGACCTATCCCGATACAGCCCTGGGTGCTGGAGCAATGGTGTGGAGACCCCTGCCAGTGCTGAGCTGCTCATTCATTCACTGACTCAGCTTTCCTCCTGCAGCCGGCATCATTGCCTCTGTTTTGTGAGGTGGAGGACTTTGTGGACTGGTGTTGGGTTAATGGGCTAATGTTGGACTTGTGGGCTTGGGCAGCATTGGGTTGGGATGTTTTCGTGATGCACACTTTCTTTACAAAAAACTCTCTCTTATACATGAGTTGCTGTGGATTTGTTTCTCCAAAGTACCTAGACTAATACAGGATGTACACCAGTAGCGTCTCGTCGATACCGCTTTCCGTAACAGTATCTTGCGTACCGCTTTCCGAGTCCTATGGAAATTTCTTTGAGTAACTTTCAACAGGTGGCAAACAGATGGCAAAACCTTTTGCCCTTGCCCTGTTAACTGTGTCTTAAGGGTACGATAGGAACTGGATAAAAATGAATATTTATGCCATGTATCCCTAGTTACTTTGAAAAACTGAGAATTGTCACAGTCCTTTATTTGTGCTGTGTTTTCGGGAGTATTTTTGCATGCCTGTTTGTGAGCAAGCTTCACAGAGACATTCTTCTAAGGCAAATGCAATTCACATTTTATTTATGTAAGTGGTGTCAGGAAAATTCTCTTTGGATCATTAAAATTACCTGAGTCATTACAGCTTCAAAGAGCAACAAGATGGCCCTCAAATTTTTCAATGCAAATTTATGTTGTTTCTTCACATCGTGTAGTTTCTGATTTCATAATTTAAATATCATAAAATGGGAAAGTTCTCCCACACACACACTTTTTTTTTTCCTTCTGTCACTTTTCATGTGATCTGATTTTAAGTAATTGGAACAAACTGTGTCTAATTTCATGCAGCATAATTGCTAGGCAGCCTCAAGCTATAGAGACCCAGCACCACTCTGTCTCCATTAAGTAATTTTCAGTTGTTCAGGAGGTAGATGTACATATATATTAATAGAAATGAGTGAGCCTGGGCAAAATCCCTATCCCAATTATCTGGCCATTGTTAAGGGGGGAAAAATAAGGAATCAACAAGATTCTCCACCTGTCTCTACTGAGGGTGGGTCAGCTGAATGCATTTTGTCCTTTTTCTCTTAGTCCTTGCCCGTGGTGCCCCACAAACCCTCAATTCCCCCCAAAAATCTATAATTGCAAGAATCGCATGAAAACTACAACTTCATGTACTTCCTCCATAGCCAGCCACACCTTCGCAAAGAAATAGGCTTCTCAATTGACATCCAATTTGCCTAAAGATCTTAATGCCTATGCATCTTTACCAGATACCCTCGTTTTGTTTGGGGGGAGCTATTTTGGGGGAATAGTATGACTTCTTCTTTTGTAGACTTAAGCCAAAAAAACCAAAAAAAACCCAACTTTGCCACAGGCAGGTCTGCTGTGCAAACACTCAAAGGCCTGTTGCCTTCCACCCACTGGGCTCGTGAGGATGCTACAGACAGAGGCAGCCCCTTCATGTCGCAAAAGGAAAGAGCGATCTCTAAAAGGTGCCACTTGAGACAGCAAATAGGAAGTTCATTGCAAACCACTGCAGCCTAGGGCCTTGGGTGAGTCAAGCCTGCTTCTTTTCCTGGACATCTTTGCTATGGCCAAACTTAGACGGCAAGGCCACGAGTTGCCGAGGGCTCAGGAGGCGCTCACGAAGGGAAGACGGATGAAACAGGCCGGCAACGCCAATCTACCTTGGGCTATCAAAGCAAACTTGACCATGGTCCAATAGACAATGACTGGAGACCTGGCCTTTGT